ATGGATCGTGAACTCGAACGTACAAAACCTCACTGTTTTATGACAGCAATGCATTCTATACCTCTTTTCCTCATCACCTGTAGTTGCCGTTACCATTTGTGCCAATAAATTGTTGGATACGGTTGTGGAACTGAAAGCTGTTAAAACTCAAGCATCCACGAAAAGTGTAAATAAACGCTATGCTCATGGTTTTCACTACTACCATCTCCCCACGAAGTGAAAAAGTCGAAAGATTAAAGCCCAAGCTACCCATCTGAAAAAAATCGTTCAATCTGATGTCTCCAAAGTTAGTCAATACAGAATTAACTTGAGGCTTTTTATTCTGACTAGGCTTATACAAGGTCTGTAGGGAAGCTTAGAGATGTGAATAGATATGTATATAGGGATTTGATCTCACACGACTCTTTGCCGAAGGTACACGTAATGCAAACACGACGACGGTATTGATAAGTAATTTTCAAACTATATTTTATGATGATTTGCAGCTTTTCCAAGTACAAAAAATCTGCAGGCTTATTAGATCACCTGCAGTAGTGAGCCCACTGTATCTTTTCGTGCATTATTTCAAAGAGACTTTAGTCAAGGTCTACTTATGATTATGTCATTGGGTTAAAATTCCGATTTTAACAGCTGAACACGAAATTATCAGAAATCAAAGCAGTCCGGCATCTGAAATCTAAATCAGCAAATCTATAAAGTTAAGGCTAATATGCGCGGTTTTCTTTGGCACTACGTTCATCAGTGTATGGCCTATGATAAATGTTCTTTTCCACTCATTTTTATCTTTATGGCTCGCATCTGGTAAACGTCCGGCAACTAGGTACTGCCCACATAAATGGTTGCATAACGAGGTTAAATCATTTATAGCTATCTAAATAAGCCCTCCTGCAAATGGCTAATACCAGCCGTAAGTATGGAAGAGATAGGAAACTGCTGAGGCCAAAGTGCGTTATGTACGTCAATCATGGTGTCACTGTTTCATTTTTTGCTTAACATTCTTCTGCGTGCATACTTTTTATAAGGTTAGGAAGAGCCTACTGACATAATAAGGTATTGTATTAAGGCAGTGAAATTAAGATGGCCAATAAATAGTTCAGAATTGGAACTGAGGCTAATTTGTATATAGGATACCTATAACTTTGGCTCCGCACGCATGAATAAGTTAGTGCGCCATAACGTAGTTAATAAGCATAGCACGGTTATTCATTAAGAAGCAAACTGTCGAAATACAGCCTTATATTTTATGCGTCATTCTTTAGGTGTTTGCCTTTCAGAAATTTATCTTATTTATTGCATGCAGAATGTAATTTTAAGCATGATTATGTTGAAAATGTTTTGACTAAATGTGCAATAAATTTGAGCCATCCAATTGAAGTATAAATTAATAATATGGATCATATTAAATGAATATACGACTACATTATCCGGAGGACGATTTAAGCTCGACGTTTTTTGCGCCTGTGCTTCGAAAAAGCATTGGAATGTTTTTGACACCATTGGCTTTTCTTAGTTGATTATTTTTAATACGGAAAGGCATGTCTCTTTTGACTGAAGGCCTCATGCGGGAGACTGTTTTGGTCGCTATTTGCTAAGTGACAGTCGGCAAGCGAAAATAATTCTTGACCTTTATCTAAAATAAAAGTTATTAACTGTCTATCAGTTATATCAGAACACCTGAGAAACTAGAAGAGCACCCTTTCGCACAGTTTCACGTGCAATTCTCTTCCGGTCACCTTTTAAAAAACTGACATAAAATTGCAAACATATTAAAAGTGAGACTATGGCTATGCCCGAAATAGTTCTTTCCTAGAAAATCATGAAAAAAGGAAAATGGTTGTTTTGAAAATAATTTTACAGGTAAGGGAGGATGAGAAGGACATTAATTTCCACATACTCTAACATCACAGGCATAAATATGTCTAATTGCAACATTGAAACACCGATTGATCTCATGGTGAATAGCTTTGTTCTAATTATAGCGTATAACTAAAGTTATAACATTTAAAAGTTTACACTCTGCCTTTAAATATTTGATAAATATCAAAATATCATAGGGCAATATTAAAAAGTTAGAAAACTGAGGTGAAAAAGGAGATGGGATCCCAGCGCTTGCATCTTCGTCTTTTCAATTATTTCCTGGGACTCACATGTTCGCTTGCATTGGAAAGTTGCAAAGCAGCCTACATTAACTGCTAAATTAATTGCAAGCTAAGGCTCTTAAATTAACCCTCCGAGCGCCACATACATTCATTACAGACCCTTATATTCGTAGAAATTCAACAAACAAGTAATAGATATAGAAATTGCGAAAACGATCACCCATTATGCAGCGAAAATTTAGATTGGATTTGTGATGAAGTGCTGACAAAATCAATCAGCAGGTGAAAAAGTACGGCTTAACTCGCCATTTTAGTAAGCGGACATCAAAAAGGAATAAGGCTGTTCAGAATGGAATAGCAAACAGATATCTCAGGACTCATGAGGTTTTGCATTTAATATGTTTCTAACCCAGGCTTTATTTTCCAAAATATTTAGTTAATTTTAGTTTTTTTGCTGCAGTTACTATCCCTGTCTATAAACCCCTGCACTAGTTCGGAAGCTCCGAATATTAAACAAACTGATCCTTTGCTCGACCAGTTATCTTCTTTACTAAAGTTAATAATTCTTTATTTGAGAGGAGATGCCATCTGTGGAAGCGAGGTTTTATAGATTACCGTTTTCGATTCGCATTCCTACTCATGGTTATCGATAACTCAAATAAGCGTTATGGGCGCAGATTACATGCAACCGTATCCTTCGCGTTATTAGCAGCTCAACATTCCTGGAAATGGCCGTAAGTAGTACTGCAGGCAGAAAACAACCAGCTGATCTCGGAGCTGTCGTCTTTCGCGTTAAAAATATGTAACAGTTAGAAGATAAAACATTCCTCTACGCATTAAACATGGACATTGCAACCAACAATCAGTCACAAAGGCTGTTTTTAAACATCGTCAGTTAACGACTTGTATGCAACCAGCTAGGTGGCCGAGTACGACCCTCAAAAATAAGTTTGGAAGTTTATGAATATGAAAAATTTGCTATCGGGTGCAATTCTAACCGAAATTCTAAAATTTTTGTTTAACTTGAAAATACAATCTTACTAGGATATTATTGACAGTTATTCTGCAGCGTAATGTGCACGTATTTAAAGAAGGTTGCACACCGGCTCTTGAATGAGCGTTTTCGGCCACAGCCCAAAAAGCATTCTTTACTAACGGATGACCTCAATAGTGTGAATTGTTACCATTGACTTTTGATTCCCATAAAAGTTAGTAGCTAATTTAGATAAGCATTTCAATAATTGTTGCTGCATCATTGAGGTAGCAAATTGCGTCTTCGATAAATTTTAAACTTGAGTCAAGTTACGTTTTTGGTCTTAAACATATTTCGAATTATGAATTAATTTAAATCTGTGAAATGTTTATTCAGTAAATATAGCGCACATCCATTTATTAATGCTGCTTTAACAGCATACAAGATGACTCACCTCACTGCCACATGTTACTAGACGTATATAACTTTCTGGTGACTGCAAATAGAAATTAATTATTTTCCTTCCATGAAAAATATATGGCTGGTAGTTTTTTCACCCTAAATAAAACTGTAAGACTAGGTCGGAGGCATTATTAGTCGGGCATGGAAAGCGTTTTTGTAGCCGAGAAACAGCCCCTCTTCAAGCATAAACTTTGAAGAAGTAATTTACTACCAAGAGCGTACAAGAAAATATACTTAGGTGCATGGATTTCGTTAGGTCTATTGGAATCTATAGAGACATCAGAATCGGTGAGAAAACTAAGGTAAGTGATTCATTGCAGAAAGTTGCTTTTGCAGGTGACCGTTAAGAAGTTCATCCAGAAGTGGGAAATCTGTGGTGACCGAACTATTTTCAGATTTTGTTGCATGAAAAATATCCCAAACTTGCCCAATTAATCTCCACTAATCGCTCATGAACGTTCACCGACCGCTACAGGACCTCTCCCGCTTTGCCCTGGGTCTGTTTTCTCGGGCCCTGATAGCAGTCGTGGGGATTATTCGTCTTAGGCAGATAACATTGATGAGTTTGAACCTCGTTTGGTGCACCACTTTGGGCTCGGTATGACTGGCTGACGGCGTCAAATAAGACAGAAATTCTCATTCCACTCTCCGTTTTTTATGACGGTTATATTAATCTTTTCTAATTAAAATTTCAATTCAGAATTTTGGCTGTTCTCTTGAGATAGTTTATCCCTTGTATATGCCTTGCCTCCTTTAGTAAATACACACCCCCTATTTGGCTTTTGTTATGGGCAGACCAAATAACACTGAAGTTAAACTAATTTGGCCCCGTCCTGCTCCATTGAATCCCTCTTGTAGCTGGCTGTCTACATAGTATTTAAGCACACAGGCGATTTTTTCCACTGGAGGAATTTTATCGAAGTTTTTGTTGTTCTTGTGAAAGATGTCCCAAATGATTGACGGACCTACATTTAGTACCTGTACTACGAGGCAATGTAGGCTTATGGACAATACAAACGATAACATCAACTGTTACTTTACAGAAATGCTGGCATTATGTAGAGTGTACAAAGCTAAAACGTAATCAAGACCAGTTTAATTCGTTTATACAGAGGCAAAGTTTATGCACATTATATATAAGCAAATTCGTACTTAAACTGAGAAACCTATGTTAAAAGGTTAATGCAAAGAGCAGCTGGCTTTAAAAATATTACTTTTTCGGAGAACATTTCAATTCTGTTATATGAACGATAAGTCATTTTATTTAAAAGGCCCTTTGGAAGGAGTTCTTTCCTAGTGAGAAATATCTGAAGAAACGTCAGGGCGTTTAATCCATAACTACTTACTAACAAAGAGACCGCGCACCATTTTGACCTTTCCAGCATTCTGTTACAATATTTTCTAACTTAAACGCTTGACGGTCTGTAATACTTATTCTCCTGGCGTAGGTAGAACCCTGTTGCTGGATGACTTATACACGTCATAGGGAGACGCAAGACACCCTCCAAACGCTGGAACGCTTAGACATAGACACTGACAAGAAGACAGAAGAAGAGCTGTACGAGCACTTCCACCTTGAGGACGCTTATCGCAGCGGAACCTTGACAAAGTGGCAGAAGTGGAAACCAAAGTTATGGGCTCTGATTAATGAACCCTATTCTTCGTTTTGGGCTAAGGCAAGTACAAATGCACATTAAGAATTGACCTTATTAGCAAATACATTTAACCTCTTTTGTATTAAAATGGTGATTTGTGCGGAATAAAAAAAATGGTCGAAGAACCCCACGATATCTGATTGCAAAATCATGTATTCAATAAGCTACCATTTAAAATGTAACAAGGGTGTCAAACAAAGACGTTTGATCATTTTTTGAAAAGGAAGATTTGCACATATGTTCATTAGAATCGAATTCTTTGTATCCAAATTCCTCAACTTGATAATTTTCTTTATAAGAAAAGCACAGTGGATCCTTTCCTCCCATATTTCTTTAAAATCAGAGCGATTGACCGCAAAAGTATAGAAGTATACAATAGAATAGGCATGCAGCCTTGCGTTCAGGTCTTGTTCACAGTAATAGACTACACTAAGTCTAGTCTATGTGTGAAACCTGTATGTTAGTATTTCTAGCGTACGGATTAATCTCGCGTGAACAAGTCAAATCGATTACCTGTAATGACCTGCTTACAAACTTCTGAATTAAACATAGAAAATTGTCGCACAGATAAAGAAACTCGTTGTCAGAGAGCGCACTCCCAGATCTCCATTGATTGTGTAGGCAGATTCAAAAAATTATCTAAGATACGCTAATTCCTTGGCATCAGAATGTACGGAAGTAATTCATATTGTCCAATTAACTGGTTTTGGGGGATTTCGGGCAATAATTTCGACTAAAAAGTCATATTTTAGCGTTTCCTGATGAATACATCGATGCGAAATTAGGCAACTTAAGATTAATGGAGGACAATAAATTAAGCATTAGTGAGACACTAAGTAAATGGTTAACATGACTGTTTTTATGTCATGTAAAACTAAGAAAACTTATTTTGCTTATTTTAAATGCAAAAAATTAAAAACAAAATCATAATCATTATACGTGTTTGTAAATGTAACCGTTTTCATGTGAAAAGGACAGTATTTAAATAATCGTCGAAAAGGGTTTTAACGCATTGCGTTTGCTACATTCAGTCCGGATAAAAATTAGTTCTTTATGTTAGTGACCCAATGAATTCAAATTAAGGATAAAATTGCCATCAAACTCTACTTTTCGTTCGCATGGGCTATAAAGAGTTTATAGCACAGTGGCATGCCAACTTATTTCAAACGTTCTTGAGTTTTACTATGTGCGTGATTGTTGCAAAAAAACCTTTAACATTCTACCTTCTTTTCTGAACATATTCAAGTTTTACTGATTTATTCTTGTTTTCAAAAAAAATGAAAATGAAATATTATATACTGCTACACGTTACGCGGCAAAAACACTCTCTTTTTTAACGATTCAGGGGATTATAAACACACATTCTTTAGTGCTTACGAGTAATAAAATCTCGCAGAGTTTACCGTCTTTGTTTATGTGTCTTTCAAGCTCCAGGACGTGAGCTGTAGCGTATTAATTATTTTCTGATAACCTTGAGTCCTGCTCACAGACTGACGAAGTATCACCTCAATTTGTTTAAAAAATATCAAATGTGGGTTAAGTAGCTGGGGGGTAAATTAACAGAAGTATTAAGTTTCTATATTAGCAGATACGGTTGAACTTTTTAAACTATACAGATCTTCTTATTAAATTTGCATAATTTAAAGGACTTTTATTCCAATAAAACGAGTCATCAAGCTATAATTTCATTATTAGGACATGGCTTTATAAGTGGAGCCGTTAAAATGGAGAGTTTTCCTAATGCAAGTTTGTTTAGAGTACCCCAAACATAGCTCCATAGTATTAAAAATTAATTAGTTGAACCTCAAGTTACTAAGTTATTATTCCATTCAGACCCCGGAGTTTCTGTCACACGTTACTGTATGTAGGTGCAACAAAACAAGCAGCCTAATACGTTTTACATATATTCATTTCACAATAAGTATGCAAAGTGCAGGCTTTTGTTTTTACTTGCGATTTACCAAATGCGACTTAATGATTACTTGTGCAAGTTACGGGTGGTCTGATTGTCTGTAAAAGCATATTCAAATGGAAACTTCAATATGGGTTCCATAAAATCTAGGTTTTTATATAACCCTAATGTAATGATGCTGCCGCTACTAGTATAGTGTTGAATAAATATGGGATGTTTCGCGATATTCAACCATTTATTTGACTAAACCATATTAAATATTTAGATATTTAAGAAAAACTTACAACGAAAATGGAATTAAAAATATTTTTAGTTATACCCTAACTTGAAATAGTTCAACCTGAATAGGTTATGGCAACATGGTGGTTATGCTAGTTGCCTTTAGCAACGTAAACCTTACATAGCAGCAGCATATTTTCATATTACACAGATAATTTTCTATAGTCCGAAATGTCAGCCGAAATTTTGAAATTTTATCGTACATTCCACCAAATGACAAAGGCATGATTTTAATGTTGATATTCATACCAATATATTTCGGTCACATCGGGCCACAGGCTTTTGAGGCAGCTATTTCTTGGCAACCCGCAGGGAACATACGCCGCAAAAGAGGGCTTAACATAAGCTATGCATTTGTCTAATTTGTTATAAACAAAGATGTGCAAAATATTCCTTTTTGTACTCGTAATCTAGCGAAGTATGCCTTCATCAAATGTATACTGTATGTTCTATTTTAAATAAATCACACTATTTTTTAATAACTGAGAGTGACATACGAATACTCTTCCTAATGTTTTCCTTAATACGGCTTCAATTGCAAAATTAGTTTATTTTATATATCTGCACATGCTCATGCATTCTTCTTTTTGTTTCAGCTGGTGGCCTTTGTTTCTGTATTCTTCATTATTCTCTCAATCGTCTCTTTTTGCCTCAAGACTGCACCGGCTATGCGCATTCCCGAGATAATTAATACGACCATCCAGATTAATTCAGACAGACACCAACTGCCATACTACTGTCAATCACATAATGGGAACATGCAAGATAGTCAGAAGGTCTCCAAATCTGATGAAGCTTTAACTTCACCGCGCGTGGTACGGTCCAGTGAATTGCGATCCATCCCACCAGGCCGTCTCGTACGTGCAAGTTACCGAAATAAATCACAGCAGACCTCTTGGACTCTCGAACGTACCGTCGTGAAAGCACATTATATGTTTGACTACATTGAGATTATCTGTAATATCTGGTTTACATTTGAGATCAGCCTCCGCTTCCTGGTCGCTCATTCGAAAATTGATTTCTTTCGATCTCCGGTGAACGTAATTGATCTTTTAGCCCTACTCTCATTCTATCTCGACCAACTTCTGGCCAAAGCCCTATTGGTTAGTGCGGACTATGAAGTCCTAGAATTCTTCTCCATTATCCGGATCATGCGATTGTTTAAACTGACCCGGCACTATTCGGGTCTCAAGATCCTTATTCACACATTTCGTGCAAGTTTGAAGGAATTGCTTCTGCTGGTGTTTTTCCTTGGAGTATTCATCATCATCTTTGCAGCTCTAATGTACTACGCTGAACGCTTTCAAAATAACCCTCGAAACGATTTCCACTCAATACCAGTTGGACTGTGGTGGGCTATCGTAACTATGACAACCGTCGGCTATGGTGACATGGTACCAAAAACATACCTAGGTAAGTTCACCTTTCATTTCAATTTGATTTATTTTTCGAATAATGTGGAAAGTATTAAAAATTCATCAAAGCAATTAGTTGCTGCGACTAAATTATAAAAAGTTGTTTTCGACTACATTTCGGATGCATCCTAAGGACAATGACAATTATTAAAGATTTTTTATTCTCCATGATTCCGTGTAATTATGACAGTAGTCTTTTGGAAAATATGTATTTCAAAATGAAAGAAAGAGCAAATGAATAATGACTGCATCCCGTGAGACAACCATAAGCTAAAACGATTCTGGGATTCCAATATATGTTATCCAATATATCATATATTTTTATATTAATTTTTGGATCTTGAACTCTAAGCTTAAGACCGTATGTAAGCATACTTCGATATCAGCAAACAGCAACGGAAAAGCTTTAAAAAAAATATTTTAAATTTCAAAAAATATATAGGTATGTTTCGGCCGCTTTTCGAGACTGGTGCAAACCTCAACTTACGTCAAATCCAGTAAATGATCATCTGAATTTGTGTCATTTGGTTTGCAGGGCTCAAATGTAGTATTATGTTCGCAAATTAATAGGTTAACTCGGCTACACTAAGAAATATTCAATAACTACATATGTATGAGGTGGAAGTCATACCGGGTTTAAATTCAGCTGCGAATATTGTATAGGCATATGAACTATAAATAATTACTGCTAGATATTTTATTTGCATTAGGCAGATGTATCGTTTTCAGGTGTTTCATTTAAAATTGCTTCTATGTTTTAAGACGCTGTCTGGACACGCTTTCTATATTTGTTTTTCTGAATGATTTTAAAATAACTGTTTTAACTCAAAACACAAACAAACAATACATGATGGAAGCGTTTAATAAAATTATATTCGGAGGTCTTTGTAATGAAGAAAATGTGTTTGATAATTATGCATTCTATCGGATAAACATATGGAAAACATAAAAATCGCAAATTAATTTGTGTGAAAACGGGGAAAATGCTCGATTTTGGTGTATTATATGCAATGTGGCCTTACTAAATAAGGGAGTATTGAGCAAACAATGCAGCCTTTTTTGCACTGAAGCGTATTTTTCGGGATTATTCCAATTTCTTTTATTAATGCGAAGAGATTTTCTATAACACTGTTGTACAAACTATGAGCAGGAGTGAAAAGCTCACGCAGGCGAGGGGCTTGGCTGTAGGCTAAAGTTGCAAACCGAATACGACACATTACTCCCTTGTGCATTGAACAGGACATTATCTTGCAATATAACGCCGTCAGTGAACTCTCCTATAACCAAGCCATCCTTTCTGCTGTCAGTAGACATCAGAATTTTTACAGTCATTGTTATGAATCGCAAGATTATTCGTTCTCTAAAGTTTATAACCATAAAAACTGTCAAGCGTCGACAGTTCTTGCTATTAACCAATTGCATTCTCAGGGGATGATGGATCCACATACGACCTTCTACACCGACTACTTGAGGTTGTCTTAAAATAATCTCTAATTACCATAATAAATATATTTCGAGAATGAGCACTTGTGAGGAATATAAACTTTAGCAAATT